AGCGTCTTATATGGCGAAAAATAGTAGTTTTCAAAGATGTCTGGCAGTGGGAATGATGAATTTAACATTGTGGCTGCATCCCTAGTGGTGAGCTGAGATATTCATATGACAGATTCAGTTAACAGAAACATTAAAATGTTAATGTAATTGTGATTTTTTTTAAAAAAAATGCATACAATTTGAGCACCAAAACAGGACTATTGTGCGAGACTGTTATAGTTAGGTTATTATGCTCTCTAAGCAACTTGTAATTTATGGAACTTATATAGGACTATTCCTAAACTCATCTGTTATGTCCAGTTTGCATGATGTGACCTTTTCTTTCTTGCTACCAGGTCTTCCCACCTGCTTGATCTGTGTGTGCATCAGCACCTCAGTGTACTGTGATGACACTGACCTAGAACATATCCCACCTCTCCCCTTGGAGACCACATATTTCTATGCCCGCTTCAATCGCATCAGCAAGATTGAAGCCACTGACTTCTCTGGACTCGGTATGTTCTCCTCCATAGGACTTCAGCTACAGTTCTTAGAAGCTTGCAGCTTGCTTCTCTCCCCATTCAATCAAGCTCTCTGCTACATGCAAGGCCACCTGCACACCATTCCTCATCCACCACAACTCTCCTGCAGACAATATGAAATCATTGGCTGTTGGCCATACATTTGTCTCACCCTGACATTTGTTTTCACACTAGATCTTGTATGTAATAATTTGATTGTTGTTTTTAAAGACTGGAAGTACATTAGTTATTACAGGGCATCCACTCTGTGCCTGAATTTGGACTGTGTGCATGACCAAATTAGGCATTGTTTGCATGACCACTAGGAAGATCACAGCAGTGAGGAAAAGCTGTGGGATGCCAATTTTTGGCATGCCACAGCAAATTCTGCAACAAGTTCAGTGGCAGGTCAAAAACTGAATCCAGCACATAGTGATGGATGCATAAACAGCTGGCATACCATGAGCCTGAAATTGTTTGCTTCTATGGCTATCAGATACTAAATGACTGTGTGTGAATAGCTTCTCAGTGTGCTAGACAATGTAACTGGAATATATTTATGAAGAATCTGGCACATGGAGAACAGGGTATAGTTGCTTTTCCATCAGAGCTTGGGAATGTTGCCCAGAATTCTCTGTGGTGATCTACATTACATAACTTTATGTATACTTAGTTACATAGCAGAGGAATTAAGAAATCCTGTTAGTGAATTGTGAAGATTTGTATCAGGGAACCATCAAGAGTGTCTTGATGTGCATCAATAGAGCCCAGTGCAGATTGACACTCCCTAGCTGGTATCCCAAAGCACATTGGTCCCACTGCACATCGATCCCATTGTGCATCAGTCTTCTTGCACATCAGTAACAGTAGCTGCTTGCTGAATATGGATGTTGCAAAACTCCTCAGTTCTGTTTCTTGCAGATGAATTCTGGCTTTTTTTTTTTTTTACTACAGCTCTGAGGATTGCCTAGTCAGCTGGATGGAATATTCTGAGAGCTGTAGTTCAAGAAAGTAACATATTAACCTGTTTACAATGTGCCTTACTTGGAACTTAATTTACTTTGTGGCATCATACACCTTCTAAAAGTAGGTAGTTTAGTGTGATAACTCTGGGTTACATTATAAAACTGGTCTTATATGAGGAAGCAGTTAGAAATAGACAATTTCACTAGTCATCTGAAATCAGCTTGGATGCATGCAATATATATAGGCAAAGACTAATCTGAACCTGTGAAAATAACCTTGGATTTTACATGTACCTTAGCAATTGTGTAACCATTTCATGTTCTGGCTATGTTCACAACAATGAAGGATCTGAGGTAGAATCTATATCACCACTAAATTCCACTTTCCCTCTTTATTGCTGCCTGATCTTAGAAAAGTTACCTTTTGAACTACATCTACCACAGCAGATGAACTTGTTGCAGAATTTGCTGTGGCATGCCAAAAACTGGCATCCCACAGCTTTTCCTCACTGCTGTGATCTTGTCCTTCCTGTCCTTTCTGATGCCAGTGCACACACTTCCACCTATACACAAACATACAGAATCACTTAATGGCTGGGAAAAGACATGACACAGCCAGGCATCTGTAGCCATATGCATACACACAAAAATATCCTCCCAGACCTCTAGAGGACCCTCACATGTACTATTATGTTTGCCATATATGAACAGTGTGGCATAGTGGTTTGAGCATAAGACTAGAACTCTGGAGACCAGGGTTCGAATCCCAGCCCAGCCATGGTAATCCTTTGGGTGACCTTGGGCAAGACACATTCTGTCAGATTCAGAGGATGGTAATGACAAACTCTGAAGAAACTTGCCAAGAAAACCCTGTGATAGGTTCAGTTCACCTTAAGGTAGCCATAAGTTGGAAATGACTTGAAGGCACACAAAACCAACAACAAAACCCAAAAGAACCATATGAATAATCCTCTGCTTGTCTGACCCTTTTTGAAAAATGCCAGATGAATGTTTTTGGATTTGGAGATCAAACCTGACCTGTTTCTGACAAACACATTCACAGCTGAAAGCTCATAATGCATCATGCTCAACCAATTGGAAACCTCAAAGGTAGCATGCTTTTCAACTTTGAAGGATTTGAACCTGTACTACAATAAGAGGCTGCCATTTGATAGGTAACTAATGTGTTTTAATACTAGGGGAAAACTGATTGAAGAAACATTTTGTTTTCACAAAGCCTACCATTAGGCTGTAGAAATTTCAGGTGGTGAGTCAAACCCAGAGATGTTCTGAAACATCAGTCAGAATAGCTAATGTAACTAAAATGCTTCAAAAGGTAGAGATGATTCTATATGGGGTGAATTTTCTCTAGTATTCTGCACCCAAGGGACCCCAGCTTCTAGCCAAAGCTCCCAAATTGTATATGAGCATATATGGCAAAGCTGAATGTATTTATTTTGAAAAGCTTGGACTGATTCGCTGGCATATTTCTTAACAACAACTCCTTCTCCTCTTCCTCTCCCCCTCCTCTTCTTCAAAAGTGTATCTATATTCCGCAGTGAAGGCTAGACAAATCTACCTGTTTCAATTTCTCCAACATTCATGGTTTTAATAAATAAATAAATAAATACATCTAAAGGTTGTTGTTTTTTTGCATCTTCTTTCTGCGGAAATTTGCTGCCTTTGATAATTTCTTATTTTAAAAATCCCCCTCAGTTTACAAAATTTTCATAATAATAATAATAATAATAATAATAATAATAATAATAATAATAATGTTTTATTTGTATACCACCCTATGGCAAGCCAATCCGGGCGGTGAACAACAGTAAAAAGATACAAGCTAAAACAATATAATTCCCTCCTCCCCCCCTTAAAAAACAATTAGATCAAGCTCAGTTAAAACAATTACAATTAACACTTTAAAATATAACTAAGCAATTAACAATTAAAATAAAATATAAAAATTATAATACAAACCAACAACCCCTGATAACGGGAGTTATAGAATATTCATTAAGGGAGATCTTAAGGTCTCGAGATCTCAAGGTCATGGTATCTCAGGGTCATGAGGCCGGGTAATTTAATCTGGAAAGGCCTGC